GGTGGCCAGGAGAGGCCCTCTCCGGTGCGGTGGTGTTGGACCTTCCATGTCTTAGTACTCAGACTCCCAGCCCTCCTCAGCAGCGGGCGGCATGTCAGGGGGAGGTTCCACATCTTGGGCATCCTTCTTCCCATTCTTGCCAGGGGGTGGTGGTGGCATCGGTGGCATCAGCGGGGTCTTGGGGCCAGCCCCAGAGCCCCCTGGCCATCCTCTCTCGGGCTTCTCAGCTCACCCACATCCCCACCGCCGCTGGCCCTGCCTCTGGCCCCAGCCCTGGCCTGGCCTCTGCTGAATGTCCCAGACCCCTTGCCCACAAGGTGGGCCGGACTGGGTGCAGCAGGTCTCCGGAGAGCAGGGACAGGACAGGGACTGTTGGAGGCTGTAGGCCCCCAGCAGGGCACCGTGCAGGAGGTAGGAGAGGGCATGCAGTCGCCTGGGGACAGAGACAGAGGCCAGGCTCTCAGGGAGGCCCAAGTAGGCTGGGGCTGGGGTTACCCAGGAAAGAGGGTGGCAGGGTTGGAAAGGATGCAGAGGACCCCAACCCAGTCCCATGTGATGGGGGACATGGGTTGGCCCCCTTGGGGCTGGCTCCTTCCTATGGCTGTTCCATCTTTTCAGGGCGTCTTTCCAAGTTTCTTCTAGCATCTTGTCCCAGATCCCCCAGGGCCCCGGAAGGCGGGGGAGGGGCCGAGCCCTTGTGTCTTAATTTCCATCACTCTTTTTTCCTCAGAACTGGGAGAGCCCAATGGCTGGACCTTAAATGACTGCTCACCCCAAGTTGCTACTCACCAAAGTAGGGTGTCTTTGTGAATTATGCTGTTCCAATAGACTTTTTGTGTGTGTGTTATTGGCACTTCATCCACATATTTTACAATTCAGTAGTTCAATCATATCATTACCATAATTCATTTTAGAATATTTTCTTCTTTCTTGTACTCCTTGTTGTTCATGTAATTATTTTTTCAATTGTCAAACAAATATACACAACAGAACATTCTCCCATTCAACAACTTCTGCATGTATAATTCAGTGCCATTGATGACACTCTTTGTGATGTACAACTGTTACGTATATCCTTCTCCAAATTGTTCTGCCAACGTGAAAATAAACTCAATGCCCCTAAGCAAACACTCTTTCTCCTTCACCCGTGGTAACCCTGGGTCGTTTGGTTTCTGTTGTTTGTTTTCAAGTAGTTTTCTTGATATACTATCACAAATCATATACTTCCATAGTTAAATTGCTTTAATAAAGTTGTAAAAGATCATTACAATCTGTTCTAATGTTCCCCCACCCTGCATTCGTTGATTTTCCCCATATCCCCTCACCCTGTTCACCCCACCCCGTTTCCAATAAGCCATTGCATCAGTTATTGTCTCTATGCATCCACTCCTTCTGTGCTTCATAAACTGGGAAATCTAACAATAATAAGAAACAAAACAGAAAGAAAAAACATAATATAAAAATAAAGAGAAAGAAAAGACCACTAATAATATCTTAAAAGCCAGGGAAGAGATTTATGTCATGGAACGACTGAGAAATATTTGAACCTAGAGCAAATTCAGATTGGGTCAAGAGGGAGGTCAACTGACCAGCCATCATATTATACCATGGTTCCATCCACTGTAATCAACTTTACAACTTTACAGATAATCTCTATCTGATAGTAAAGCTTTTCAAGTTTTTTGCCAGTGGTCAGAGGGGACCTGACAGAGGTTTAGTCTGACTAGACAGTCTGCAGATGGATTTTGGGCTCCCACTGTCCTCCATAGCCTTCTGCAAATTGGATGTTCACAATTTAAGCTCTGATACTTTTTCCTTAATGATATTTGGATTTCGTTATTATCATCTTTGGATCACACAGGCTGGTATGCTTCTACCATGTGGATTTAGTTGACAC